GGCAAGCTTGTACTGGAACATGACAACCCACTTTAGAAACTGCTGTTCTGCATAGGAAAATGTGGGCATCACTGGAGATGTACGGAAGATGTCTGTGGGCCTGTCTTCAGCAGAGAACTGTTCCATCGTAACAGCCTGCTATAGTGCGCACACCACAAAATTTCCAACTGCACTGAACTCTGTGGGATTTCTGCTGGAGAATACTTTTGGCCCTCCACAAATGCTACCAGGAGATTCAAAATGGAGGTCAAGTGTAAGAAAAGGCATTTGAAAATAGGGCATGTTATTCCCCCTTAGAAAAGGATAAACAGGACTGTAATAAGAAAATTGGATTTATGCATTTATTATTTTAATAAAATAGATGCTTAACAACTCATATTGACCTGTAACACTGTAGTCTTCCTGTCTTTTATCTTTCTATTTATTCAAGCAAAGGCACTTCTCTAATACAGAAACCAAAGACTGATTTTGCACATCACTCCCAGTAACAAAAGGAATAACTTGTGCTACACTTCCATAAATGGAACATCTGCTTTATGAACACAAGTTCACAAGTTGCACACAAGGAAGTTAACAGGACTGCAATGTCTTAGGAGCCTAGCCGTGGAAAAGACATGACATAGTTGCATGCTTTCTCCTGTAAACTATCCATGCAGTTTTATCTACCAGTTTTTCATAGATTGGTTGCTTATCAGTTGATTATCAAGAAACTGAGTTGGACAGTGAAGTAAAAAAAAAACCAGGAAAAAACTCCTAACCTTAACTTCAGAAGAACTACTAGCAAATACTAAAATTGATCTATTTTTAATGTTAGCTGTCTAAAAAATATATATCCTTTAACAATGTAGTTAACCAGTAGCACAGAAGGAAGAAACTAATCTATACTGATCTCATGTTAAGATTTTTTGCCAAACATGATTTGAGAGTTCACCTTGGATCAACTGTAGTATTTAATACAGTACCATTTGACCAATGTATTGCTGGGAGACAGAATGATCCAGTAGATATTTCTATCTGTAACTATTAGTATGATCCTTAAAATATGAACATTTAAGCCTCATGACACTGAAGTTTTTAATAACGAACATAAGGCATAACTATACTACAACTAAGGCTAACATCAGTTTATTATTTAAATCTTTGGCTTGCTTTCTACTTGATAAAGTTCCAACAAGAAGCCCCCTACTCCTAGGTTTCTCTGAGAATACGTTCTGTTCTACAGGGTTGGTTACCTTTTCAATTATCAAGGGAAAGAATTCATCTGCTTCCTTAAAGTAGAACCAATGAGCCTTTCCAGTAATGGCCAATTATTAAAAGATTCACTTTTCACTTCATGATAAACTAGACATTTATGTCCTCATCGTGACCATTTCCGGGGGGGAAGCATGCTGCACAGCTCAGGATGAAGAGGAAAAATACTAAAGAATTTTATTTTTTCCTCCAGCTTCTTCAGGATTCTTCCTTGGTTTTCTTCATTTTTTTATTTAATCCTTTCTTCCATGTCACTGCTTTAAGTTTACTCACATTTTAATGCAGCTGACAAATCATAAATTTCATATATACAAAATAATATTTCATAATCTCACATGCTAGTAAAATGGAAAAAATCAATATGAAAACATCCTGTGACACCTAATAATCATAGAATGATAGAATCGTTTAGGTTGGAAAAAATCATTGTTACTGGCTTAGCCTAGCTAAAAAAACCCCTAATGATGGAGGCTAGTAAATTGCTCCAATTTCACAGCCTACGGAGGTTTTCTGGTGGGCTTTTTGTTGCTTATTTGTTTTAAGAAATACATCATTATATTCCTTGTCTATCTTCTCCACTAAAAATAAGACACCTACGTTAGGCCAGAGTTTCCTAAGATATTAGTAGGTAGAAAGAGGAATGAACTACTTAGTTTGTCCACTTTACCCTGGTTTGGAAGTCACATTTTTTTCTGAAAGAAACAACAGGAATTACTGTAGTACTCTACATTAATCCACATACTAGTATACTGACATTAATATAGTGTCATAATAACAATAGTTGAACATTCTCAAACTTTGTTTGTTCGACGTTATATTTCACCATATTCACTAAAATTGGGCAACTGTGAATTGGTAGTCTAACAAAAATCAAAAATGTGCCAGATATGAGTCACTTCAGTTTAAATCATATTCAAGCATCACTCCGTGTACACATTTTGATGCATTAAAATAACTGTCTTAATCTTGATGTGCATTAGGATTGAATCACCCAGTGGACATTGGGAATTTAAACTAGTGAAAATAACTGTGCTCTGCAGACAGTGGCACCCTTTCCAGAGCTTCTCTGAGGGAAGCTTTCATTTGTGCTTAGGGCTTCATGGGAGCCCTTCTAGTAAAGGTGCCTTGGGGACATGCTGAATTCATATCGCCGTAACACGGATGCACGTATGTTCGCAGGAGGCCACACTAGTCACAGGTAAGGCAGACAAATCAAACGGTAGCATCCCCCATCAGCTTTTCTATTATCTGCCCCACTTTGTGCCAATTTCCTCCAGCTTCCCCAACACCTCCTGCTTTGCTGTTCTTCCTTAAGACATGGGACGGGGATTTGTCAAAGTCAATGAGCACTTTATTACAGTGAGAGTGCTCAGTAATGAACAATTCAGCAATTTAATGAGATTCTGTAGATCTGTCTCCAGCCTGTCCATCAAGTTTCACTTCTATAAAGCACCCTGACACTAATCCTCTGGCATACCCAATCTTCACCCTGGGCTGAATATTAGATTCTTCCATGGTATATTGCATTACCACTATAACCTTAGCAAAAATGATGAACTTAACTACACTTGAGGCTATATAGCTGGTCTGATTTGATTTTCTTCTATTGGGTTGCCTATAAGGGAATTACTTATTTACTAAGATAAAGCAAAAAAACAGTTTCTTATTGCCTTCTGAATGCCTAAATTGGTAAATATTTATGTGTGTCTTTTAATTCATTCTGGGGACCTGGAATATTTGTAAATATATATTTATTCCTGGTTGTAAAGACTGAATTAAAAAGACACATGCACGTTTTGCCTGCAGCGGAAAACTAGTTTAAAAAAATTCTTCGGAACAGCATTAGTAACCTTTAGAGAGGCAATTATGATAACACTTAAGTGGACAGTGTGGAGTTTGTTGTCACTCAAAAAGCAGCGTATTACCTGTAAGTATCTCTCCCCAGTATGACCCTGCAACAGAAGCAAAAGCTTTGTCATAGCTGCCTCGTGAAGCATTCACTGCCTGGAGTACACACAATTAAGAAAATTATTTCTGAGTTGTTCTTGCAGGACAGGACAATGGCACAAGATTTAAAAACTCCCACTTCCCAAACTTTGTTTCAGCAGATTGCATAGGGCATATTACTCTGTATATTCTTGTTCATTACTGAGCTGTCATTAAATAACACTTGTGTGGCCTTCTGTAGCAACTTTTCCAGCAAAAGTATACCCAAGCATGTAGCTAGGATATTTCACTAACCCTGCAGAGAAATTATAAAACCCAGTGGGCCAATCAACCATGCCCCATATATGAACTTGTACATCAAAACCTTTTCTGATAAAAGGAACACGGGCTAGTACTCCAGAGTATCATGCCTAAAAAAACCAAACCAAACCAAACCCACCACCATGGGTAGTGTTCTGCAGGTTCTGTTGCACAGACATCCTCCAGAGACTAGGACAGGCGAGAGTCTAACTTTATACTAATATTTGCAGAAAATACCATCTTTGTAAAATACACTATAATCTAAAGCCTCAACGTTTCAGAAACAAATATGCCAGTTATCAGACTGAAGGGTTAAGTTGCATCTGCATACTGTCTTTGTGGTTTGAAGAGCTTAACTAGACATTTTTCTTTTTAAAGAATAAACGTTTTGTTCCTGCATGATGTTATTCATCTACAGAACATGAAGTGCCCCACAGATGAACACACATTTTACACTTTGAGAAAACGATAGCATATAGATGAAATGATTTGCTTAGAATAAACCAAAAGACAAGTAGATAAATAACAGGGACCGAAATACAAATCAGTCTTCTGACTCTCAGTCTTCTCTCCTGGACCAAAATAACCCACTTGCTTGAAAGAAACCTGTGCTTTCTTTTCAGGAACTTACATTCTACCTTGAAATACCCTGAAATACTTTCCTTCTATAAAACATGACAGCAAAAAGGAAACAGAAAGAAGTGTTTGGGTAACCAGTGTTACAAAGATTTCCTTCTACTATACCGTGAATTGCAATTTTTACAGACGTATGACAGGAATGTTTCCAAGGACAGATTTTGATTTAGTTTTGTGTTTCTCTTTACAGGCTATGTGGTTTTTTTCACACTAAGTTTTCCACCCCACCCCCCTCCACACTAAAGGTCACAACATAATGCTTTTATCTTGTTAATATTCTGTGGCTGGCAACCTGGTCGTTTTCTAGAGCCAACTTTTTTAAAAGAAATGATCACCACCTCCAGCTTCTTGCCAAAAAACCTTCCACCGATGCCTCCGCTCATCTCTGAGCAGAGCAGCCTGTGTGATGATTCGCTAATCTGCTTCAGGCAATCTCAGCTGTGGTGGCCTAAACAATTTAAATTACTACTGAAGTTACACTGCTAAGTTTGTCTGAAGTGAACAGGAGAGACTGCAGAAGCAGGTTTGCTGCCAGAGTTGCAGCACTAGCCTCACCAGAGGCAATGATAACCGAGTTGCATGTATTGGCCATCTTTTCCCACGAAGAAAGTTGGATCTGGAAGAAAATCTCTGGCCACATCTGAGTAACACAAGTTAAGCAACAAGACAAATTTCTTTTTCAAACAAACTAATTGCATTAACACAACATTTTTTGAATTTCATTTAAAAATTTCTCTCAGTTGTTATTCACAGTTTTTGCTCAAGTGCTTATTCTCCCTCGAGATTGCTCCAGGGTTTCAAAACAACAGATTACTGCTCGGGTTTATAGAGTATCACACATTCTGCTTGTTCACCAGTCTCCTTACCTGCCAGATTTGTTCTTCACTGAGTGAAGTGAGTCTATCACTTTTAAAAACCTCTCGAAGGAGACAGTATGGAAGTGCCAGAACTTCTTCAGGATGACTCTTCAATAGCTCAGAGAGATGTTTTACTAAGAAGTCAACCACTGCATTCTCCAACAAAGTGAGGTTGAAGAGGTCCGCAAGCTTATATAGGTCCAAGTAATTAAAACTATTTAATTCCTAAATGGGTGAAGCAAACAAAATACGTCTCAGAAAAAAAAAAAAAAACAAACCCAAAAACAGAGAACAAAAAACCCCACAGGTCTCAGATAATACAGAAAGGTTGTTCTTTTAGAGCTGTGGAGAAGAAAGGTAATATAACTTGAAATTAATTAACACAACCAGATTCAAAATGTATGTGTAAATGTTACCAGTGCATATGCAAATATATATGATAGTACTAATTTATAGTGCAACTACTAAGATTATATATGCATACAGCATCTGTAAGAAATATGGATTATTACATGAAATAATAAACCAGCATGATTTACACTGTATGACAAGAGCTCGCAGGAGTTAACAAGTGGATTAAAAAAATATATTTGTTAACTACAAGAGTTTGTTACATAGCAATTGTTTGTTCATTATTTACTGTTTTGATTGAGCTAGAGCACCTGTGTAGTACCACTTCTAGTTCCACGAAACCTCACAAAATATGAGATGCTGAGCTACATTTTATTACATATGAGTTTATCTTCAATGAACAAACAGACCCTTTTTTTTTCCAACCACTGACATCAACCTATAGCAGATGTTGGCCTTGCATTCTTTCTCCCCCTCCTTCTAGCAGCAGAAATCCTGCGGAGACAAAAGCTGCAGTAACTCAGCGCAGGAAGTTTTTTCCATCCCAGTAACAGACAACCTGTATTTACAGGCTAATGTTTTCAACTTGGCATCCCTTGCAAATTAGCGTCTGGACAGCTAACTACTGCTATTCTAGACCATACGCTCTTCAGGGGAGAGGCCAAGAATTCATCCCTACTAGAGAGAAGCAGCCAGGACGTCTGGGAAATAAGCATGTTTACCCGTTTGCTCTGTTCTTGCTGTATGCTCACACTTCTCTTCCTCTGCCCTCCGCAATCCCGGTTTTCATCTTCCAATTTACGGCATTGCTCCCTATCAGCCGCCTTCTCCTTGACCAGCTCCATGTGTGAAAATGACAAGAAGTCTTGTCAGTTTCACTTTGCTGGTTAGTTAACATAGGGACTAGAGCAGGAAAGAGAAACAGACTAAATTAAGTCAATTTCACTTTCACTGCTCTGCTGGATGGAATGGCAGCACCAAATGAAACTGACAAGAAATCTTGTAAATGTCAAATGAGCTGCACGGCTGGCAGATAGAGCAGAGCAACAGGGAAGATGGGAAAGTGCGAAGAGGGGTTTTTTTGGAATGTTTTATGGACTACATCTTGAACGTGTGAATTGGGTGGCTGTCCCAATAACTGTGGAACTGTTTATGCATATGCAATGGAGAGTGGAGAAAGAATTTTTTTCACCTGCTTAGAGGAGTCAGTACTGGAGGAAACTGAATCAAATTCCTGTGGAGGCTCCTGCTCGTTACATAATCTCCCAGTCTGAACGGCGCACCTTCCCTGGCAGGCTTGTACATTAAAGATAAATCCTCTTCATTATCTACTTGAACTGCTGTATAGGAGTTTCACATTGTTTTCTTGGAAGAACAAAGAAAAGTTCCTTACGTTGTCAGAACAAGCACTAACAGCCATCATCCCAAAAGCCACAGATTATGCCAGTGTCAGTTCCTCTTCACACTAACATAGAGGAGGTAAGGATAAATCCTCCCCAGTTGCAGAAGGAAAGAGAAAGGAATGAATTTTACATGAGAAGTATCTGGTCTGTCTGCTTGCTTGGTGAATTAATATCTGCAGATCACAGATGGTACCTCACACCACCACTTCTGTGATGGCCATGCAATGGTGGCAACAATGCACAGGAGTATAATCAAAGTAAACATCACAGCATTTGACAAGCAACAACCATCATTTATTGTCCCTGGTTTGGAAGACTTTCCTTTCAAAGAACTCCCTAATTGAATGGATGCCAAACATCCAGAAAGAAATTTAGAAGAGCTCCGTGTATATTTATTGAGCTCTTTTGTAGTCAACAGCTATATGTGGGGAGGATTAAAATAAACAAATAATCAATCAAGCATTGTGATCTGAGGATCAACAGCCCAACTAAAATACAGGCCTGATCAAACCCCACTGAGTGTCAATGGAGAAGGACAGATGGCTTTTGGTGGACTTCAGAAGAGGACAATACTGGAGATACCATAATGAAATCTTTCCTCATTAGAGAGAAACAACAACATGACATACAAATGCACTTTTCCCCTGAAAAATCTTAACATTTTCAGTGAAATCTGAAAGACACTGGTAAGCCTTCATTTGTGGTTTGGATATTTCTGATGATCCCCCAAACTCCCCTATCCCCTCAAATTAGCACCAGTTGAAGTTTTTATGAAAGCTGTCATACAGTTGAAGAGGCCAAATATACTTATGGATGGATAAACTCTCAGCAGTTGTTTATTTACGATATTATTTATTTTTATTTCTATGTGTTCACTTATTTCCAATCCTTATTTATTTATGTGTCTATTTATTTATTTATTATGGGGGTTTACTCGTTTACTTATTTTCATTGGTAAGCTTCAGAAGATTTTTGATGCTTCGCCTAACATAATGTGTTAGTGACCCGCTGGACTTACGGTTTACTGCTTGATGAATATTGCAAGTATATTTTGTTAAAACTGGTCTTGGCCTGTAATCAGAAACATTTGTTTCTGTTTTTGTAAGGTTAGAGTTGATCTACAGGTTTGTATTTCACAGCCAAAGAAGCAAGTAATGCATTAGCTTTTACAAATGAAAGTTATCAGACTGTCATACCAATATTCAAATTAAAATTATACAGTACTATATATTACTGTCTCTGTGATGATACCAGAGGGCAAAAATGTCACACTGAGATTGCAAGGCGTATACCACAGATCAGATAACCTAGGTCTTCCTATGCGCTAAGACTTTCAGAAACATCAGACTAAAATGCAGTATGCAAGTTAGTTGCCAAAAAAAAAAAAAAAAAAAAAAGCACCCTACCTTCTAGCTTTAAAAAAATCCAACAGGAAGTATCAAAGCAATCACTGTCAACTCAGTCTGATTTGAATGGATTTTCAAAATAAACTCTTAATTGAATTAAAAACATTGTTAAAAAATTAAATAGGTTACTATGAAATTAAATTTAGGTGTGGTTATGAATAAGAGCTCTGGCAGTCTCTTGTTTTCCACAGATTTTATTATATTGTGTTAAAAGAGCAGCTACAAAATCTAAAAGCTGTGTGCAACTTTCTTCTGGTACTGTATCGCAGTATACGTTCTTTAAAAACATGCAATACAAAACAGGCTTATGTAAATTATTGAAACTTTTAATCTTGTTTTTATAAACTTTTAAATACATGCCACATCTTTTTTGAACTGAAGGATGAAATATGAACACAAGTAGAACTGTCACTAAGGGCTGAAGACAATTAGGGAAAGGTAGCGATCCTATCTCTTCTAATATGATGTATGTTGCACTGCTGAAGCACATTCAGGCTAAGAATAGATATCTAAGTTTACATAGACAGATCTTACAACTAGCAGTTGAAATAGTTCTAAAATCTCATAGTAAACTCAAACCAATTTAATAAATTGGCCAAATTATTTATCAGTGTCTACTAAAACAAGAAACCATCTTTGATCCTATGCATTCTACTTACTATCCACCCCCGCTTCCCCCCTCTCTGAAGTAAGAGAATCCATTGTTCTACACTACTGGTCTTCTGATTCAGTAATATCAACCTTCAGGTGCCACACCAATTTAACAATGAGCTGACATTTGAAACCCTCATAAAAGAAAATCAGTTTTCCAAACAAATATGAGCTGAAGGACAACAATATTAAATATTCAAAATAAACGATGTGACACTGTCCATGTTTTAATACGGAGGTGTATTTTAATACAGAGATAAGATAAATTGTCAAACAGGAATAATAGATATAAACATTGTATTTAAATTACTTCCAAATCCATCTTTATTCGTTTGTACTTTAAAGAATAATTGCCTCACGCAAGCCACAGAAAAGGATGCAAGTAACAGATTGATAAATTAGAGTTAATCATAACCAAGCACACAGCAGACTACAATATACTTCTATTCCTTTGCTCCGTGTTATAAATAGCAGAAAAAGCACAAGGAGAACTAAGGGGAAAGAATGCATTTCTTTATGACCTTATTTGAAAGATAAACTCCTTGGGGAAATACAATTTATTCAGATTATCAAGACCCTGCTGTGCAAATCTACAGTCTGGGAGCACACTACAGAGATCAAACAATATTTACTTTATTCTGTTGGGTATAAAAGCTTTTAATGAATGCATAATTAAGACAGAAAAAGTATATACAGCTTCAGAATTCCACCGCCAAGCCAAGCCATTAATATCCAAAGTATCGTACCCAGTTGTAACTCCACCTGCTTTCTATTTAGATTACAACACTGTTATAAATCAAGGTATTAAATGACTAGCTCTGCTGCTGTAACAGAGAAGAGTTGCATGGTGACACTATTTCCCCTTTTCCTGAAAGGGGTTCAGCCTCTTTAAAGCAAAAAAGGAAGTGTGATGTCTCTGGGACAGGGACATGTTTATTCAAAATCCTCAAGCAGCACCTAGCACAACAGGGTCTTGACCCCAAGTCCTCCAGGTTCTCTGCTATGTTAAATACTATGAACCAGCTGCACCATTCAGAAGAGAACCTTGACATAAATCATAGCAAAGAGACTCTAAATAGATAAGGGATAGTAACAAAATGAAAAATTGCAGTGACAAAAATATACTTCTCTGGCAACAAAAGGGATCAACACAATTTTAAGATAAAAGAAATCTGGTTCTGTTGGTTCTAGCTCTTCCTTTCTGTATCAAAGGTTCTAGTTCTGCAAAACCTCACACATTTACCTAAGAACTAAGATCATGCACATACGCCACAGCACAGCAACAGACGTACCTATTTCATACTAAGCACAAGCATGAATCCTTCCAAACCTATATTTCAGATCTTACTTGAAATTTTCCTCCACTAAACCCCAAAGCCATCCAGTTGAACCATGACAGACATTTTGCTGAAGC